CCGGGTGTGGTGGGGCTGGAGGGGAGTGTGGAGCGGACAAGGGAGTCCCGGAGAGAGTGGTCCCTCCGGAAAGCAGATAAGGATGGGGAGGGAAATATGTCTTTGGTGGTGGGGTTGGATTGCAGATGGCGGAAGTGTCGGAGGATGATGTGTTGGATGCGGAGGTTGGTGGGGTGGTACGTGAGGATGAGGGGGATTCTGTTTTGGTTGTTATTGCGGGGAGGGGGTGTGAGGGATGAGTTGCGGGAAATGCGGGAGACATGGTCGAGGGCGTTCGAGAGAGAGTTGGCGCCAATTCTCCGACACCTCCTCCTACCGCCCCCTTGATCATGAACCCACCCCCGACCACCAAATCATCATCTCCCAAACCATCCACAACCTCATCACCTCGGGTGACTTCCCACCCACAGCCTCCAATCTCATCGTTCCCCAACCCCGCACCGCTGGCCTCTATCTCCTTCCCAAAATCCACAAACCTGACTGCCCAGGTCGACCCATTGTCTCCGCCTTCTCCTGCCTCACTGAACTTATCTCCACCTATCTCACTCCATTTTCTCCCCCTTGGTCCAGGAACTCCCTACCTACGTCCGTGACACCACCCACGCCCTCCACCTCCTCCAAAACTTCCAATTCCCTGGTCCCCAACGCCTCATCTTTACCATGGACGTCCAGTCCCGATACACCTGCATTCCCCATGCAGATGGCTTAAAGGCCCTCTGCTTCTTCCTGTCCCGCAGGCCTGACCAGTCCCCCTGCACTGACACCCTCATCCGCTTAGCCGAACTCGTCCTCACCCTCAACACCTTCTCTTTCAATTCCTCCCACTTCCTACAGACAAAGGGGGTGGCCATGGGTACCCGCATGGGCCCAAGCTATGCCTGCCTCTTTGTAGGTTACGTGGAACAATTCCTCTTCCGTAGCTACACTGGCCCTAAACCCCACCTCTTCCTCCGTTACATTGATGACTGTATCAGCGCTGCCTCGTGCTCCCACGAGGAGCTCGAACAGTTCATCCACTTCACCAACACCTTCCACCCCAACCTTAAGTTCACCTGGACCATCTCTAACACCTCTCTCACCTTCCGGGACCTCTCTGTCTCCATCTCGGGCAACCACCTAGAAACCGATATCCATTTCAAGCCCACCGACTCCCACATTTACCTAGAATACACCTCCTCCCACCCACCTTCCTGCAAAAATGCCATCCCCTATTCCCAATTCCTTCGCCTCCGCCGTATCTGCTCCCAGGATGAGGCATTCCACTCCCGAACATCTCAGATGGCCTCGTTTTTCAAGGACCGCAACTTCCCCCCGTCAGTGGTCGAGAACGCCCTCGACCGTGTCTCCCGCATTTCCCGCAACTCATCCCTCACACCCCCTCCCCGCAATAACAACCAAAACAGCATCACCCTCGTCCTCACGTACCACCCCACCAACCTCCGGATCCAACGCATCATCCTCCGACACTTCCGCCATCTGCAATCCGACCCCACCGCCAAAGGCATTTTTCCCTCCCCACCCTTATCTGCTTTCCGGAGGGACCACTCTCTCCGGGACTCCCTTGTCCGCTCCACACTCCCCTCCAGCCCCACCACACCCGGCACTTTTCCCTGCAACCGCAGCAAGTGCTACACCAGCCCCTACACCTCACCCCCATCCCAGGCCCCAAGAAGACTTTCCACATCAAGCAGATGTTCACCTGCACATCTGCTAATGTGGAATGCTGTATCCGCTGTTCCCGATGTGGCCTCCTCTACATCGGGGAAACCAAGCGGAGGCTTGGGGACCGCTTTGCGGAACACCTAGGCTCGGTTCGCACTAAACAACTGCACCTCCCAGTCGCGAACCATTTCAATTCCCCCTCCCATTCCTCAGACGACATGTCCATCCTGGGCCTCCTGCAGTGCCACAACGATGCCACCCAAAGGTTGCAGGAACAGCACCTCATATTCCCCTTGGGAACCCTGCAGCCCAATGGTATCAATGTGGACTTTGCAAGCTTCAAAATCTCCCCTCCCCCTACCGCATCCCAAAACCAGCCCAGCTTGTCCCCGCCTCCCTAACCTGTCCTTCCTCCCACCTCTCCCCTCCTCCTACCTCAAGCCCCACCCTCATCTCCTACCTACTAGCCTCATCCTGCCCCCTTGACCTGTCTGTCCTCCCTGGACTGACCTATCCCCTCCCTAACTCCCCACCTACACTCACCTTTACTGACTGCATCCCCACCTGTTTGACCTGTCTGTCTCCTCTCCACCTATCCTCTCCTCTATCCATCTTCTATCCGCCTCCCCCTCTCTCCCTATTTATTTCAGAACCCCCTTCCCCTTCCCCATTTCTGAAGAAGGGTCTAGGCCCGAAGCGTCAGCTTTCCTGCTCCTATGATGCTGCTTGGCCTGCTGTGTTCATCCAGCTCTACACCTTGTTATCTCAGATTCTCCAGCATCTGCAGTTCCTACTATCTCTGATGCAGTGAAATATGGGCTGTTAATAAACCGGCTGAGTTTATGAACTGCAAATTTATCCTGGATCTGTAAATGGAAATTTTATTTGGGCTGGGGTGTTTGGTCATTTGATTAAGCTTTTGAATAACACCCAGCAAAAAAATTCATTGCTCCTACTTACATGTGTTAAAACAACAATGGTCTGAATCTTATGGTCAACAGTAAAGCAGAGACGTACATAGCTGACTACATTTAAATTTAAATTTTTACTTTTTTGGAGGATTAGCAAGAGATAAACAGAAGTGAAGGTGGGTGTACTGGTGATTACTACAGTATTTGGCACTCACCCTAATTTAAAGGGCCATGGTCCTGAGTAGGATAATTCCTGCTTGGAGCAGGACCAGCACTCAATTTTATTTTTATCTTATTCAAAATTATCGCCTGCAACTCAAATAATGAGGAGGCACTTAGTCTGTCAGTATAGTTTAGATTGGTTTGCATGCAGAGGAACGTCAGCAGCATGGGGTTCAATTCCTTTACTGGCTGAGGTTACTATGAAGATCCCACTTTCTCAACCTTGTACCTTGCCTTCACCTGAGGCTTGCTGACTCTCGGGTTAAACTCAGCACCAGTTGTCTCTCTCTAATGGGAGAGCAGCTGTATGTTCCAATGGGGCTATGGCAACTTTAGTTTCTCTCCACAAATCCATATTTGTTATTATTTGAGAAACTGTTTCTCAAGTGGAGGACAACTATATTTAGTTTTTGGGTGTATGAAGATTGATCAAAAAGTCGTTTTGAACATTGAGTTTACAAAAGCGTTTACAAGAAGGCATGTGATTTCAGCTAAATTACCTCAAGCCACCTAGGGAGAGAAGTTGTTCAGGTACAACAAAAACAGGAATTGCTGGAGAAACTCAGCAGGGCTGGTAGCATCTGTGGGCAGTTGATGAAGAGTCATTGAACTTGAAATGCTAACTCTGCTTTCTCTCCACAGATGCTGCCAGACCTGCCAAGTTTCATTAGCAATTTGTGTTTTTGTTTCAGATCTCTAGCATCTGCAGTTCTTTGTTTTATTTTAAGTTGTTCCAGTGTTGGCTGATTTGAGTTTTAGGAACACCAGAATGACAGAAATGAGCCAGAAGCTGGTTCAGGCAAGGGAAAGAGGTCCATAACAGCAGAGATACTGTTAGTAGAGGTCAGGACTGGGGAGAAGTCCTGAGATGCTTACAAGTCAATGTGAAGCAGAAGGCTGTGGGAGTTTCGGAGAAGATATGAGTTTAGGGAACCTGTGTTAATTAATCCATTGGTTGAGTAGCAGATTGTTTTAAGAGTTTCAGGGAAAATCATTATCTAAAGAAAATAGCATCTAGTGAATGAGCAGTTAGCACTGCTGCCTCACAGCGCCAGGAACCCTGGTTCAATTCCATCCTCGAGTGACTGTCTGTGTGGAGTTTGCACATTCTCCCCGTGTCTATGTGGGTTTCTGCTAGGTGCTCTGGTTTCCTCCTACAATCCCAAGATGTGTGGGTTAGGTGGATTAGCCATGCCAAATTGCCCGTAGTGTCCAGGGGTGTGTAAATTAGGTGGATTAGCCATGGGAAATGTAGGGTTACTGGGAAAGGGTAGGGGGAATGGGTCTAGGTCTGCCTGGGATGCCCTTTGGAGGGGCAGTGGACTTGTTGGGCTGAATGGCCTGTTTCCACACTGTAGGGATTCTATGATAATTTGCTCAATAAAAAATGACTACAGCTATGTCAGCTAAGCAAGCTGCTTTCAAGTGCTGATGAACTGATGTTATAGTTGTGATGATCTGTAAGACTATTGCTAGGATAAAAGTTTGATTGTTTCTTTCTGTTTGTAATGTAATTGTCATATTTCCAATAATCTAGTGTAATATAATTTGTGTACTTTTCTTTAGCATAATTAATTTGATGTTCTTCTGTTGAAAGTACATTGACAGCCTCTTGTTAATATGCTCCAGGGTAAACAAAGCAAAAACTAAAACTTAAGGTCAATCAAGCCAGGTTTCACTGTGGAATATTACCATCAGGTAGGAACCATAACTAAAATAAATGAGTGCAAATTTTGAGGTAAGTACTGCACAATCAACCCAGGTTTTTACACTCTTAAGTTCTGGCAGTTTTCGGATAGATAAAATGTTGAGGATTTCATGTAACTTGAGTCTGGTTGCAAACCTTAATGGTGGCAAGCTTCTCAGCACTCACTGCAAAATCCAGACCATTTGAGTTTTGAAATGTTGGGGCACAGCAATGGTGGTCAAGAATTTGAATGGAAAGAAGCATACGTCAGAGACTGTAACTGGCTGAGCTGGTGCCCATGGTGTTTGGATGGGAAAGACATCAAGATTATGTTGTTATTTCTGGTGACCTTAATTCGAAGAGAATGAAACAGAGATTCAATGGTGATGACATCAGCACGGGCCGTATATAAGGCGGTGATATCAGTTTGTTTGTGATGTCACACACGGTGAGGGGCGATATTACCGGTTATTATCGCAGGTAGCTGCGGCTCAGCGGCCGCTCCCCGAGCCTAGGCCCCGCTTCCCACCTCCCCCCCCGCCCCCCGCTGCTGTTTGAGCAGCTGCCCCTGCGCGCGGACACTCAGGAGCCGCAAACCGAGTGACAGCCGCTCGGCAGGACCCGGCCTCTGGAAGGACGCTGACAGGGTTGAAGTGAGTAAGATCGCGGCGCCTCGGACCGTCCTCAGTTTGAGGAGTTTTCCCCCTTACGTCCCGGATCCATCCCGGGACCGGTTCTCTCGCCGCCCCCTTCCCCTCCCAGGCTGAAGTGGGCGGACATGCACTGCGTGCGGCGCCTCCTGAGGCTGTGCTATTCCCGGCGCCAGCGGTAAGTCCAGGGCCCTGCGGTGTGAAAGCACGGCGCCGGATAAGGGCTAATGGATGGCCGGCCTGGCGCCTGGCCCTCTTCGCCCGAAACCAACACTGGCGTCCGCAACTAGGCCCGGCTGGGACGGGTCGAGGCCTCTGGCTGCGCCACGAGGTGCCGAGTCATGTCTTGGCAGGGGGGTGAAGGTCATTCTGTTGGGTTTAATAGTCGGGGATATCCGGGTGGGTGGGAGAAAGAGACACCTCGTCCTAGCCAGGAAAATATAGCTCTGGGATCTTGGGGACGTGCCGGAGAAGAGGCGATAAACAGCCAGTTTAGAGGGGGGCTGTAGTTTGTCTTTCCGGAAGAGTACCGAGGATTGGAAACTTCTGAATTGAGTACATGTTTTAGTAGCGCGGCTCTCCGAGCCGGGGAGTGTTTGAAGTGCCCGGGTTTCAGCGCTTGTGTTCTCTTCACCATGGATGGGGATTTCTCTCCAGTGTTATAACCTGCCGTCTAACTTGCTGAGTTTTTTTTTAAAACAGTACACTTTAGATAGACTGCTAACGTCTCAATTGTTTTATTTCGTGAGTACCTGCCTGAGGTTAGTCAACCTCTCATTCAATCATTTATTTCACTGTAGTAGCTACAAGATTCAGTAGAAACTGGTGTTTGAGTGGTGGAAGAAACAAGACTTAGTTTTGAGAGGCCTGCACAATTTTACACAAGTTTACATCAAAGGCCATTTAGAACATCTGCTTTATAAGAACAATCCATAACTCTTGCTGGAGCAATACAACAGCCCTGAAGCCTCCCCCTTGCTTCAATTTATTATTTTGCATGTTGTTTTAACTCCTCTCTGTGGCAAAGCAGTGTAGTTCCCTTGTTGCATCAAGCAATTTATTTTTAATATTAGTTATTGATGTTTCTTTATTACTGACTTCCCAATCATGCTAGATTCAGTTATCAATTCACTCCATTACATTTTTTCTGAGCATCTGTTTGTCATATGCTGTAAAAGCTATCAAAGAAAAGGGTACTCTAAATAAATCATCTCACTAGTGTCCTTTTATCACAAATTTCAAGAGGAGCCAGTCCTTTTTGTTTACTCTGTAGTTTCCTCAACAGTTTGAAGAAAGTTATCAAACTATTTTACTAGTATATGCTGAGTAATCTGCCTTGAATGTGATGTAATTTTCGTTTTCTTAGTCTGTTGCTTGATCTGCTACACTATTACAGAGGGAATTGGCATCCTGATGGTAGGGATTGAATCCAAGTTCCCTAATGTGTAGATACTGTTTTACTTCTGTTTGTGTTCCCAGAAATGAGTTTTTGTTTATAAGTCTATTTTAAATTGTATGTGTACCAGAGAATCATGTACATTCTTCTACAACCTGTGTCATTTGTACATTTTCACTATCTGATGCAAAATCCACCAGGGAAAGGATTAATTGAAAGATGGAAAGGACATTTTAGTGAATTGCAGGAACACAGCAGACCAGGTAGTATCAGAGGAGCAGGAAAGTTGACGTTTCGAGTCGTGATGAAGAAGGGTCCCGACCCGAAACGTCAACATTCATGCCCCTACGATGCTACCTGGCCTGTTGTGTTCCTCCAGCTCCACGCTGTGTTATGTCTGATTCCAGCATCTGCAGTTCTTACTATCTCTGATTTTAGTGATTTGCATTTCTCTTGGTCAATTTTGGCTGATTTATTAAAATTTTTAACAATCAACAATTGCATTTTTTGAAAAATCCCTCTTCCTTTCCCCCCACCCTCCCAAGTGAATTAGGAATACACTTGAGCTATAGTAGATTTTTACAAAGTGAATCTACTTCACATTCCAGTATCTGCAGTACTTTGCTCCTGCTTCATAATCACGTTCAACATTTACAAATACCACAGGAGTGTCGTCGGGAAACTATTTCAACTTTGCACCAACATTAATCTTGTGCATTGTTCATAATGAACTTGTCAGAATGTTCTGTAAGAAATTGAGGTTTGAATCTGAAGTTGCCACCAACTTTTTTTAGTAAGTGTACAGACCATATAATGTTTGTAGTTTTGCAATTTCACTTTTCTGGAGACAAAGAAAATGATTATTCCTGATTTTTTTTCGAAAAGGAATCCTTTTACATAAAGCTTTTTGCACTGGCTCAAGAAGAGGTTAGGCCACTGTCTTCTCGAGGCACGGGCAATAACCATCTGCTTTGCCATTGGTATTTGTTCTCAGCTACTATTTGTTGTACATTATCAATTTTAAGTGCAGATGGAAGTTGAGAATAAAAGTAAAAGCTGATCAGTTCCTCCTCACTTGAGCTTCTCTCCAGCTGAGCAATCTTTTGCTTTTTTTCCTGAAATCTGCTGCGACACTATCAGTTTTTCTCACATGAAGATTTTTTAATCATGTCCTCTAGATATAAGTCTCAACCATTGATATAAACCGCAAGAGATAAGGAACCTAACACTGAGCCTAACTGGATGGAAAAAAATCCTGAATAAGAATACCTGTGATCAGCACACTTTTTGCTTTCTACCCCAAGCCGATTTTGGATCATTGGATCACATGTGTTTTTACTTTTTGACTAGTTTGTCGAGTGGAAAAGGAACATTAGAATAGGAGTAAGCCTTTCAGCCTGTTGAGTCTGCTTCACCATTTAATACAATGATGCCTGATCGAACATTTCAATACCTTTAACCCATTTTATTCTCATAACCCTTTACACCATTGATAATAAAAAATTTATCAAACTCTTCTTTAAATATCCACAAAGACTTGAGTTTCCACAGAAAAGTCCAAAGATTCACCACCCTCTGAGTAAACAAAAATTCTCCTTAGCCCTAATTCTCCAAAAATTCTCCTTGGTTGAAAAATTCTCATCTTGATCCTGATTGATATCCCCCTTATTTTTAAATAATGTTCCCTCGCCACCAACTCCGCCACCTCCCCAGCACCCCTGTCTATCCTTTTTAGGTAATTTCTTGGCTTTAATGGGATCGCTTCTCGTTCTTCGAAGCAAATGCAGGATGAGTTCATGGAAGTGCTTTTTCTTAGGACAGTGCTAGGAACAAGCCTGATGAACTGTTGTTGTTGCTCACTCTCTCTTTTTGAGATAAGGAGACCAAAACGGCACACGTTACACTTGGTGCTGTCTAACTGAGAGCTCTTATTACAATTGAAGCAAGACTTCACTACTCCTGTCTGCAAACGTGCTTGCGATAAAATCTAACACTCCAGTAGTCTTCTAATAGTTTGCTGTATCTGAATGTTAGCACTCAGTGACCCATTGACCAAAACACCCAAGCCCTTTCTCAAATTTACTTTCCAATTTCTCTCTCCATTTGACAAATATTCTGCACATCTGTTCCTCCTACCAAAGTGGATGGCCTCACGTTTTTCCACATTATGTTTTATCTGCTTTGTTCTTGCCCATTCACTAAACCTGTCCAAAATCCCCAGGAAACATTTTACACCTTCCTCACAACACACTTCTGCTTAGCTTTGTATCATCTGCAAATTTGGAAATGTTATATTTGGTCCACACAACCAAGTTTTTGATGTACAGGTAGTCACCGGGTTGTGAATGGATTCTATTCTGGAGTCTGTTTGCAAGTCTTTGTTTCCAAGATGGAACACAATGCAGGACCATGGAAAGTAGTCAGTCATAAGTGCAGGAAATGTTTGTATGTAGGTCTTTTAAAAATTAAACCAAGTATGGGATCACATTAATAAGTACTGGCATTTGTAAATCAGGGACCTCCTGGCTATTATAAGCAGCTGGGGCCGAACTAACAATCCTTGTAATACCTCACTGGTCACAGTCTGCAAACGTGAGAATGATCCATTTATTCCTGCTGTCTCTCTCTGTCTGTAGCCAATTCTTTAATCCATTACATTACCTGCTGTACCATGAATTTCAATTTTCCTGACTACCCTAATGGGGATCCTTGTTCAAAGCCTTCTACAAAATCCAAATATTGCTTCAGTTGATTCCTCTTGACAATTTTATTAGTAACATCTTCATTGTGTCAGAGATCTACAGCACAGATAAAGGCCCCTTGATCCATCAATCTGCGCCAATCAAAAACAACCACCACCTATTCTTATTCTAATTCCAATTTCCAACACTTGGCCCATAGCCTTGTATGCCTTGGCATCTAAACAGTTCTTAAATGTTGTGAAGATTTCTGCATCTACCAACTTTTATAGGCAGAGAGTTCCAGAGTCCAACCACTTTCTGGGTGAGAACCAAATCCTCTCATCTCCTCTAAATCTCTAGCCCCTTCCCTTAAAGATATACCTCCTAGTCATTGATCCCTCCACCAAGGGGAAAAATTTTCTTCCTGTATTTGCCCCTTCGTAATTTTCGTAGAATCCGTACAGCATGGAAACAGGCCCTTCAGCCCAACAAGTCCGTACCGATCCTTGGAGCATCCCACCCAGACCCAACCCCCTATAATCTACACATCCCTGAACACTACAGGCAATTTAGCATGGCCAGTTCAAGCTAGCCTGCACATCTTTGGACTGTGAGAGGAAACTGAAGCACCCGGAGGAAACCCATGCAGACACTGGGAGAATGTGCAAACTCCACACACAGTAGGTGGAATTGAACCCAGTTCCTGGCGCTGTGAGGCAGCAGTGCTAACCACTGAGCCACTGTGCTGAAATTTATACATCTCAATCGCGTTCCTCGTTGGCCTTCTCTGCTGCAAGGAAAACATCCGTAGTCTATCTAACTTCTGTTTCTAATAAAAACTCTTAACGTTTTGGAAAAACTATTTTGAATTTAAACAGGATAGTTATGAGGGTATGAAAGCAGACCTAGCAAAAGTGTACTCTCAATGATGCCAAAGGACCTTTTCATAGAGGCTAACTTTTTTTTAATAGTTTTGTTTGAGGTATGAGCCAACAATGGTAAATATAGCACAAAAAACAAAATTACTGGAAAAGCTCAGCAGGTCTGGCAGCATCTGTGAAGGAGAAAACAGAGTTAACGTTTCGGGTCCGACGACCCTTCCTCAGAATCGTTCTGAAGAAGGGTTACCAGACTTGAAATGTTAACTGTTTTTCCAGCAGCTTTGGTTTTGTTCCTGATTTACAGCATCCGCAGTTCTTTTAGTTCTTATATGGTAAATATTGCAATCGTGTTCGTTATTGCAACCAGTACCATTCTGACTGGATGTTCGTGCAACTTGTTACAGTAATGAACGATGATAAGAAACCTGACTTTTCCCTTTCTAGCCTATAGATCAGATCTTCTCAAAGTGGGAATCAGGATTCTAAGTGGGGGCAGAAGCTGAAAGTTTCGGCTTGTGAGCTCCAAGGAAGCAGTGTCTGCCTTGGAGCTCAGCCTGACCTAACAGTTGCCCTCCCAAGTTAACAGACAAGCCCCCTTGACATTTCCAGCTCTTCCGCCTACCCCTGCCCACACCAAATATCTCCAGCCCCCCCCAACAAATACCCCCTTGCTCTTACTGAGGGATCTCGATGACAATTCTCAAGCCTTGAAATGATGTTATGTTGGGGCAAAGTTTGGGAAGTGCAGCTGATAGATGATGAGATCTGTGGAAATCTGCCACTCGAGCAAAGATTAATCTTGACTGGGTATCACATCTGGGATCTCTATAATTTATAGTGTCGAACCACATATTGCTTTCACAGAGAGTTATTTGGAGAATTTGTCCTGTTTGACCAAACATGTTCTTACTCAAGCACTTCGAAAACTTGCTAGGTGCCTCTTAAATGTTGCATTTTTGAGCCATTTCTTGCTTAACATTGATCTTTCATCATTGCAGCAATGTGCAATTTGATATTTGCCACATCGTTATTTCAGATGGTTTTTTTAGATCAAGAGCATTTGGTGGAAATTTAATACAAATTGTCTTGGAGTTGCATGCAATAACCTGTCTACAGATGACAAAACTTTCAATCTGAGATGCTGTTCATGAGTTCTACTTATGTTTACATTTCCACCAATAGCTTACTTGAAGCAGAAATGTAGTAATTTGTTATATTTACTGAAATGTCTCCCATTTTCAGCCTGCAGCCAACAAGAAACCTGAGAATGAATAATTCTTCAATCAAGAGAATAGTGACCAATGTTATCAAATCTCCTGAAGATAAACGTGAATATCGTGGATTGGAACTGTCTAATGACATCCGAGTGTTGCTCATTCATGATCCCACTACTGACAAGTCTTCTGCAGCCCTGGATGTTCACATTGGTATGAGTATCAGTTAAAATGTTAATAGTTCTTTTTTGTATGTTTCTGTTATGAAATGTGCTTTTGGTAAAGCAGCACTTTATTTAACGTAGTTGTGGTTGTGGCTGCTGGCATGGTGGCTCTGTGGTGAGCACTGCTGCCTCTGTGCGCCAGGGACCCGGGTTCAATTCCAGCCTTGGATAACTGTCTGCATGACATTTGCACAATCTCACCACGTCGGCGTGGGTTCCCTCTGGGTGCACCAGTTTCCTCCCGCAGTCCAAAGATGTGCAGGTTAGGGCAATTGTCCATGCTAAATTGCCCCATAGTGTCCGGGGGTGTATGCAGGTTAGGTAGATTATCCATGGTAAATGCTAATTGGTGCAGACTCAATGGGCTGAATGGCGTCTAACTGCACTGTAGGGGGATTCTATTATTCTGTTGTTTGTAATTGGTACCAAACTGGAGTAGCACAAAAAAGAATGTGCATACCCATATGATTTTGTCTTATCCTTCCGACCGAACTAATCCATTGTGCTTCTCTTTGTAATAGTTATGACCAAGTTTTAGAAAAGGAAGCAAAAGTTTGAGAGGTTATAATCTATGTAGTCTTTTTAACACAATATTAAGTAGTTAATCAATTGTCATCACATTTTTGCCTGCCTTTGAAGGCTTTTATGTGATGCTGGCGTTGATAAGTCAACTACTTTATATCTTTTCAATATGCTGATCAGATATTATTTTATCATTTTAATTGGCACGATTACTTCCACGTTCCGAGATTTTGTTTTAACTCCTGGGTTTCTCACTGAAGATGCTAGCTGTAATTGCATGGATGTTCATCTCACTTGTTGGGCACTCAGCCTTGGTTGAGTGGAAGTTTCTTTCAGTTTCTTTAAGCTATGGGAAATCAGAGCCATGATGTTTGCTCCTGCCAAAAGCTTTGTACCATTGCCACAGTTCACTCTCTGGCCACTTTCTCAGGTTGAGCTCAGCTTTTCACCACCTCACTGCCCTACCTGCCACATTGTGCTTCGGTTGCATATCTTCCATCATGTTGATTACTGACTTGTAGCTTTGCAGCAGCGATAGATTCTACCTCTACTGTATGTTGCTGAAGTAATTATATCTAGCTATTCAAATGCTGGCCAGCCATTTGTCATCGATGCTTTTGAGGCTTAAAGTAATCCCAGACTCTACTCTTCATACCCTATCTGCGCCAGGTTTTGCTCACTATCACAAATGTCCATGTTGGCCTTTATTGGTTTAACGCCCCCCCAAACATCATTTAAGACTCTTTCATTGCCTTCCACAACTCTTTGATTCCTGTAACGATCTCCTGTCATAGAATCCCTACAATGTAAAAAGAGGACATTTGGCTGTTGAATCTGTGCTGACCCCCTGAAAAGCATCCCCCACCCTATCAGTGTGACCCCGCATTTACCATGGCAATCCAGGTAGCCTGCATATCCCTAGGTACTATGGGCAATTTAGCCCTGCCACTTCACCCTCAAATCTCCTTTCTTCTATCTTTTGCCTTTTTTTTTTACATTCTTGTCTCTCTTCGTCCCACCATTGCTGGCTGTTTTTGTTTCTGCCATTTAGGCACCGCATTCTGGGTTTCCCTATTTGAATATGTAATAAACTTAGTATAATATTCATAATTTCCCTGAAATTATGAAAGAATCACTCTCTCGTAAGGAAAATGAGAACTCCCTGCAAGGGCTTGTGTTTCCAATTTGTCAACCGTTATACATTTCTTTGGGTTTCAAATCTTTTTTATTGCATTTAATAATAATGCTCTCAAAACTGCTTTATCCAGTTAAAAATGGCAAATTAACTATTACAAAATAAATTTACAAGTTTTAAAACACCACAAGCCCTTAACGGTGGGTAGATTTCTGGTTGTTTTGCCTGCTGTCTCTTGTTCCTTTGTATGTCTGGAACTGTCACCTCTCTTTCCTGAACCTGTACTCCTTAGTTCCTGTAATCTGCCTTGCTTTTCACTTAACAATGTAAACTCTACCATCTACTGTTTTATGTTGTCTTAACTTCCCAATGAGAAAATAGAAAATACACTTAACAATGCTTCATGGGAAAGAAATACTTTACGGCATTTGCCAAACAAACTTGCACTATTTTGCTACAAATCCCTTCTCCCCTCCATCTGCCTTGTCCTTTTTAAAACTAACCTCTTCAATCATGTATTTGTTTGCTCATCATGGCATCTTCTTTTGTTGGTGTCCTTTGATTTGTACAGTTATACTTCTGTGAAGCATCTTAATGTTTTTCTATTTAAATATACTGAACAAATGTTCCAAATTAAGTGACTACTGTTCAGTTTAGACAGAATATAGCAGCAAGTTATTTGACTTGGAATTTTACAATAGTTAAGCCTAATGCTGTCTGTAAAATGTAGCCTTTCAACCTAGGTACAAGAAAGCAATTGGAAGCAGAAATCCTTTCAGATATATTTTTGGATTTCTCTCGTGCTCTTCATTGCCCCCAGTCCAAGGGGTCTTGAGGCCAATAGTAACACCTGTAACAATGACTGTGACTGAAATTCAGTGGCAGCTTTTCTAATTTCCTGCCATAGTTGTTTGAAATTAATTTATCAACCTTTTAAATTCACCTTTTTGATGGGCACAATGTACTCATTTTTCCAGTAGCTTTGTGTGTGGTATGTGTTAGAAAACCTTGAAAATCTAAAATGATTAAAAATAGGTTGTCGATATTTGCATCCATATGATCAAGGAGAATGAGCTGAATCTGAAATTGGCCTTATTTCAACCTTTCAAGATTCTTAACAGATAGCACTGTTCAAATTTGGATTTGCATTTATACTTTGCTTGAGTTCCTGGTTTCATATTTGTAGCAATGCTTAATTTTTGAGCAGAAAGTTGATTGTTTTCCCCTGAAGAGAACAAGCTCCCCACGGACACCTAGTGATGACTTGTACACCAGCTGGAAACCAGCTCGGATTCAAGGCTCTGGAGTAGATCAGATGGGACGGCACAGATTTGTGAAAACCGAGCAACATAAGGGTTTCTCCGTCACACTGCCACCACCCCCCACAACCAGAAAGGGAATTAACTGAAATCTGTATAATACTCATCTTGCCGAATTGAGATACATTCAAAATGCACTGTTTAAAATATTAATTAGTAACTATTTTGTTTGCCTTGGGTATGTAAACCTGTTTCTATTTTAATGTCATTAGCAACAGCGGAGGCTGGAGAGCTAAAAGTAGTTAATAAAGCAAATCAAAGGATTTACAGACATGGTAAAACCTTTGGAACTTGTCAAGCCTTTAAAATGTAACTATTGAGTGTCTGCTTAGCTAATATGTAACTGTTAGATGGGGCTAGTTTTGGTGATTACTCTGCGTAATCTAGTTTTAATGAAATATCTGTTCTTGTCAGTGGAGGCAATACTTTTGTTTGAGTAAGTAAGAATCAAAATATATATGCCAGATGGTGTATAGCCTATCAATTAAAGTTACTTAATTAGGTGTTTTTTTTAAAAAGTGTTTTACTTTAATTATCCGGCTGGTTGATTTTGGTTTTCTTTTCACCCTTCATAACGTTTGAATGAACAAATGTTGACTACTCTTACTACAAATCAGCCAGTTTGTCTGGCAAGTTATAAGATTGTAATCATACAATTTTAATTTTCTTTTAAAAACATTTTTTTTTAACTGAGAGCACTTTGAACATTGTTCCACACTTCCTATTGTGCATTCCTGTTGTATGTTTTGTTTTTAAAATATGTTCATTCCTCGTTTCATAAATGTTTTTGAATGGTATCGGAAAAATGTTTGGGACCTAAGCACAACATTTAGCTAACTGTAGTTTTACTTTTGTTTTTGTTTCAGGCTCCTTAGCAGATCCCAAAGAGATACCTGGACTTGCCCATTTTTGTGAACATATGCTTTTCTTAGGAACTGAAAAGTATCCAAAGGAGAATGAGTACAGTCAGTTCCTCAGTGAACATGCTGGGAGCTCAAATGCATTTACCAGTGGAGAACATACCAACTACTATTTTGATGTATCAAATGAGCATTTGGAGGGTGCCTTGAATCGGTAATTAATGACAAAATAGTTAATTTCTCTGTTTTGTGTGTTCACCTGTCAGTTTGCAGCTGCACACTCTTCTGTTGCTGCATTTCTTTCACTTCTTCATCCCAAACTTCACCTTTTGATGAAAAATTCCTTTGTGTGACCCTTCACATTGTTTGAAGAGTGAACAGCTCCTTTCAGTGCATTTACATAGGGAAGCTGACCTGTTCGCAATTGGATGTATTTATTTTGTATTCATATTTTGACAGGTTTGAATAATTTATGCAACCTTAATTTCTGATACCTTTCTGGCAGAGAGCTTCTGTACATTGAGAACTTGCATACTTAGCTTCTCCTGCCTCTCCCCTCTTGTTGCAAATTGTTTTGGCCATTAAATTACAGCATTGGAAGTTAATTTAAATATAGGCGAGCTTCAAAGATGAGATCATTTGTTTGGAAGGTCCGTAGTACAATGCAGCATGCTAGTGTAATTCCATCTAACAGCTAACTCCAGGTCCATAGCAATGTGGTCGACTCTTAACTGCCCTCTGGGCAATTAGGGATGGGCAATAAATGCTGCCTGGTCTGCGACACCCTCATCCCGTGAATGAATAAAAAAAATTATTAACTTTTGTTTTGTGAAGTAAACAAGGGTTAGTTTCTCATGGCAACATAATGGTGCCCCTTTTGCCCTATGTTAGATCAAGCATTTCTTGATCAGAACCAGATTATCACCTGTTCACTCAGTATTACTGAGATGAATCCAACTTGATTCTATAATTAATCTTAAATATATTCTTTATTTGAAGGGGTCTTTAAGGTCTTCTGAACCACTGCATCCAAATCTGAGGTAGGTTTGGAGACAGGAATCAAAAATCAGGCCATTTCCCAACTTCTCCATCTTGTCTCCTGCTGGTAGTATCTGCGCCCCATATTATTTTCATGGTGGATGGGTGGGACAGGCTTTGGTAGGCCTGTTATTGTCAGAACAAGGCTGGCATGCATACGTTAGGGCACATACTTTATTCAATGGAATATTGGCTCAATTGAGCGTTAGGCACCCTAGTTCTTGCAGGCCCGTCCCATTACCTCCGTTGCATCCAATCTGGACAGAACTTGTGATAGCTATCAATACATTTGGATGCCTTTGAAATGCTCATAAAACTATCCAAATAAACAGATTCAAAAACTTTAATCCTAATTACTCCGATAAAATGTGAATTAAAATAAATGCTGTCTCCTTGATAACTGTCTCAAAAACCCTGCAAAGCTGAATCCAGTACTGGGGTTTGGAGCTCAGCAAATGAATTTCCATTTCCTTTGGCTACCTAAACAAGACCTACAAAGTCGAATACATTACACCTTTTTTGAGTAGTGGCCTGTTTTTCCCCAGCTTCAGAGGACTCAGCAGATGGCTGGACTGTCGATCAAAGAAAAGATTAACTCTTGGGATCCAAATGAATCTCAGTACTGTTGAATGCAGTGGAGCAATTTATCCTCGACGCTAAGCACTCTCATACCACTAACACTTTCATAATTCTTGTCTGTTTACTGGTCTTGACATCTTAGATAGAGCTCTGTCTGTCACATTTAACATGCACAAATAGATTGAAATGTGAATTGTCAATGCCATTCAAACCTGCTTGTCTAACAAATTAATTTGTGTCCATGGTTCACACCACCTCTGAGGTACAGTAAACCATATCACCTACCAAAACTGGCCTGACTTGGTGGCAATAGTGAGGAGTCTAGAATGTCATTCCCTGCATTAGAGTAGACACGGCCAGGACTGCAGAACAATAACATGGTACCTGCTTTCTTAAACTTGTACGTTAGGGGAAGCTTGGATACAGTCTAACCTGCCATTTTTAAATCCTGGCTCCTCCATTCCAATATTGACCAGTGTGTGAAAATTTAGTCCTATGATTTTGTTTTTGGAATCTTCTGACTATGAATTGAATAAGTTCAGCCCATCAGTCAGATATCTGGTGACAAGGTAGTGTTCCAGTTCATTGTACTGTTATTTTCCTTGTTTCTTTCTGATGCATGCCATTAACCAGTTACACAGAATGCAGCAGATAGGTACTGTATTAACCAAGCACCATTTATGATACTTTAGTAAATAGTCTGCATCTGTGTTGTTGGAATTTTGCTTTGTATTGTTTTAGGCATATTTAGTCGAGCTCTCTTTAAAACACATGTAGTGCAATGTGAATGTTTGTTCCTTGACGCTTTACTTAATCAACTTTTTCTTATAAATTAGGTTTGCCCAGTTTTTCCTTTGTCCTTTGTTTGACGCCAGCTGTAAAGATAGAGAAGTCAATGCTGTTGACTCGGAGCATGAGAAAAATTTAATGAATGATGCCTGGAGATTGTTTCAGTTGGAGAAATCTACAGGCAACCCAGAACATCGGTTTAGTTCATTTGGAACAGGTTAGTTTTTAAATACCAGTTCCGGTGAAAGGCCACAGCTTTGAAACGTGAAATTGGGGAAGTGTATTGTTTCTCTCATCCCACTATTCTGCTACGATCAGCATAAATGTAAATGCTTTATCCAGCTGCTGATATCACCAATTAGACACTTTTTAAAATTCTAAATCTAATATGGATAAAGATCCATCAACCAAGATTCTTTTAAAAATGGCAGAATTATAGATTTTGTTAAAACTAGACTTATTTGGCAAAGATATGAAGTGATGACCACAGTTTGAAGTAAAAATGTCTACCCTTCTAAAAAACTGATCTCTGACTATCTTTCCTGCGCAAACATGCACCCTCTCCCTCATGCGCGCCCTCTCCCTCAACCAGAAACTACACTGGACCAGGCACAAGGATACTGTGGCTGCAAGAGCAGGTCAGAAGTTGGAATTTTGCAACAAGTAATGCTGTTCCCAATTTCCCAAAACCTATCCTCCACCTACAAGGCACAAGTAATGAGTGTGACAATCCACTTTGCTGAAGAGTGCAGCCCCACCAATACTTGAGAAACTCAACACCATCCAAGAAGAGAATCATATTTCATTGGTACCCATCCACCAATATCAGCACTCACTCCCAATACCAATGCACAGTGGCAGCAGTATATACTATCTACAAGATGCACTGCAGAATTCAGCAAGGTTCCTTCAACGGCTGCTTCCAAATTTGAAATCTCTACCACCTAGAATGACAACAGCAAATGGACGGAAACAATGCCATCTACAAGCTCCCCACTCACCATCCTTACTTAGCACTTATTGCTATTCCTTCACTGGATCAAAATCCCAAACTCCCTCCTGAATAACACTGGCAGTATGACTGCATCAAAATGAATGAGGAGGTTCCAGAAGATGGTTCACCATTCCTTCTTATCTCTGCAGTGACTTAGCAGGCCACTTGGCTCAAGGGCACTAGGGATGGACAACAAACGTTGGCCAACCAGCAGTACCCATATTTTGTGAAGTGATGTATGTAAAAAAAAAAAAGCATAGGAAGCAGGTGCATTTTTCATGTATTAATTTGATAAGTAATATTAGGAATGGACTCTTGAAATTGGATGTTCACGTTGATGTATGAATATAGTAGTGTCTTTTTTTTTTCCTGGATGAACAACATAACGGTTATTGCTTCAAGATTTCTGGTCTACATTCTTAACTATTCAAATGATTTTTGAGCTTGTAGTTTGTGTTAAGTAGACATATTGTGCTATTAAATAGATGTAAATATGCTGTTACTGTCTGAGAAATGCACATGCTGATATGTCAACAACGTAATCTGTTTAAAAAACATTAAACTTGCATTTGGGTATTTTTAAGGATGCGGGTTGCTTTTTTCTTCTTTATTCTTTTATGGGATGGGGGTGTTACTGACAAGACTGGCATTTGTTGCCTCCCCCTCGTCCTCAAACTGAGTAGCTTGCAAGATCATTTTGGAGGGCAGTTAAGAGTCCAACCACATTAATGTGGGTCTGGAATCACATGTAGACCAGACCAGGTAAAGGGATTAGATTTGGTCCGTAAAGGATGTTAATCAATCTGATAGATTTTTACATTACTCAACTGGGAGGTGGGGCATGAGTTTCAACCCATGTTCTCAGATCTCTGAATCAGTAGTAATATGATCACTATATCACATTTTTCCTAAATGTTTAACACTTTTTTGCTGTCTTTCAAATTACCATTTGGTTACTGTATCAGTAATCTGCTGAATACAGCAAATTAGTTATTTCTAAAAGGAGACACAGCCAGAAATATTAATCTTACACTCATCGGGATTGCAAGGAACCAAACTTTGAAAGAGAACACAAATTAGTATAGTACAAGAAGGTACTCATTGGTTAGTGTGGATATTCAGCAGGATATGTTAACAGTCAATCTTAGCTAACTGACCAATCTCAGACCAGGCAGGTAGACTCGCTGGTAGGTCAGGATGTTTACTTTCAACAATAATGTACCTTCAAACATGATTTGTTGCAACATTTAGCATCTAAACTGTAGCATTCTTGACCTTGATTTTGAGGGCCTTAATAGTGCAAATGCAGAATTCATCTCCGGTTTTGAGCTACACTTTTAAATTTGAGCGCGGCATGTGACTCTTCCACCATGCAGTATACATTTCAAAATGGTTTTGTAAATTCATTAACTGTTCTTACCATTTTGACTAACATAGTTAAGAGTCTCTGAAAAGATTCCACTAACCATAAACACAGATATTCAGAAAAGCATTGTGTGCCAGTGTCTGATTTTCTGTAGTGATCAGTCACTAGCTGCTGTTACTTCATTATAATCAGTCCATCAGTTGCATGATAAAAGCATGTAGAAGTAGCTCAACAACTACAATACTAAACTCCTATGCATTTTAACATTTGCTCTTTGCCCGAGTTTGAAGATTAAGCTTGCTGTTATTGTATTTCAAATTTATTTGACTTTGCTGTAATTAAGTTGAAAATTGGTCGCTTCTTATTCTAGACTTCACCATATTCACATTGATATGTGCCTTCGTCTCGGTGGTGTGTGCTTTCAAGTTGTCTCTTACTTTGACTCCAACTAACTTTGTATTTGTCATTTCTCTGTCCTCTGGAAAAAGGATAATTTAATTTAGAATGCTTTCCATGCTGACAAATTACATTTAACAAAAGCTTACAAGATTTGAAAGAAATTGGTGAAAAGCGAGGAAAAGAGAAATGGAGTCATTTGGACTGAAGAACAGATTGGAATTAAAAAAACAGTTGGTGTTTAAAAACATGTACCATAAGCATATGTTGCTGTAGCTTGACGTCTGAAAATGGTGTCCTTGAAGGTTTTTATATAAAAAAAACATGCATTTTCAATTGTACTGTATAATAAAGCAGTATAGTTTAGTGAGACATTTAATTTAAAGCATTGGACAGTGAGAAATAGTGGTTGGTTCTTCAACAAAACTCATTTAATCAGGAGGAAATCAAGTGAAGGAAAAACTAAGCAGAATAGTTACTGAATGATTTATCAGTTCTCTTGATTTCACCTGCATGTGCAGATTAATTTGAGTACCACGAGCCACGAGAGAATTGTGTATCCTATATTTTCAGAGAATGCCAAACTATCCTGTGGCTCAAGTGAAAACACCAACGTTCGCATGAGAAAATCAGAAATTGTGCATTGAAAATTAATTTGGATGCTACAACTTGGTAGAAGAAAATATCTGCAGTTTTTCTGAAATTGGTTTGCTTATTTTAACTTTTTCTGCCTGACCTCCTGTGTGTCAGCAGTGTTTTCTGTCATCAGTATTTCATATGCTTTTAGTCATCAAATAAAAATTAGAATCATTCCATGATTCTTGCACTGAAGGAAGCCATTTAGCCTTTCAAGTCCATGAACACACTCTAAGGGCAGTTTAGCTAGTCCAACTTGCCTGCTTTTTTTTTTTGCCCAAAATCTACAATTCTTTTCCTTCAAGTAGTTATCCAGTTCCCTTTTGAAGGACACAGTGGAACCTGCCTCAATCACCTGCTGAGTTCCTGCATGCCAGATCATCACCTTGCCTTGAATTATATCTTAGTCGTGTTGCTTTTGGGTTTTTTTTGCCGCTTGCCTTAAATCTGAGTCCACAGTTTCTCCCTATATGTTTTGTTTAGACTGTTTATGAACACCTCTGTCAAATCACCTTTCAACCTTCTCTAAAAAAAACAACTGCAGCTTCTCCAGTCTTTGCTCATTGTTAGTGTCTAATCCTCAGAAATGTTCTTGTGAATCTTTTCCTGTACCATCTGTAAAGCCTTGCTGTTCTTCTTTGATGTCCCCAGTCAGATACGGTTTTCCAATTGAAATTAAATCAGTGTTTTTTAATGTTTATTATAACTTCCTCGTTTCTGTATTTGTGCTTTTATTTATAAAACTCCGGATCCTGTATGCCTTATTAATTAGCTTCTTGACTTGGCCTGCCACCTTCAATGATAAATGAACATGTACCAAGAGATCCTTCTCCTGCACTCCTTTAGAATTGATTATGGAGGTGCTGGTGTTGGACGGGTGGATAAGGTCGGAAATCACATGACACCAGGTTATAGTCCAACAGGTTTATTTGAAAACACAAGCTTTCGGAGTCTTGCTCCTCCTTCAGGTGTTAGTGACAGAAGTGGCATCAGTCACAATTTATAAGTAAAAGATCAATGAGTTACACAACTGATGAGGACATATTAAACAAACCTAAGATGCTGTTAAATCTTTCATCAGTTAGAAGGTTTTAGTTGATTATTATGTATATGTAAACCTCAATTTCTTTCAAGTCACTGCTCTGTGTGCACATATGTTGTATTTTTTTCAAAAAGTACACAATTTATAAGACAGTCAATGTGGTATTTTATAAATTCCTACTCTAGAAATAAAACCAGTCTGACTGCAAACCAAAATACAAACAGATTCTAAACAAGGCTTCACACCTAACATGTATTGTCTACCTGAAAAGTCACCTTTAGTTCTCTCAGGCAGTGCATTGAAAGAAATGCAGGGATTTACATATACACATTAATCAATTAAAAGCTTCTAACTGAGTAAAGGCTTAACAGCATCTTAGGTTAAGTAAACAAATGGTAGCGGGTCAGTCGACAATCAAAAGGCCTTTAGAGTATGGTTCCGTTTAGTCTGATCTCGGGCTTCAGCTTTCCTGATTACTTTATATATTCCTTGATTTTCTGAAAGACCAGAAATCTATTTTGACCTTTGAGTATACTGTGTGTTGGTGCATCCATAACCTTCTGGGGTCAAGGGTTCCAAAGATTCACAACCCTTTTGAGTGTAGAAATTTCTCCTCCCCTCTGTTATAAATGATTGGGCCCTTATGCTGGAAATGTACCTTCTTCTTTCCTCTTTTCTCTGGATTCCCCAGCCATGAAAAACAACCTTTGTCTGTTGTGTAAAGTCCCTTCATAATCATGCAAGTTACAATGAGATCACCACCTCTCATTCTTAACTGAAGAAAATATAGACCTAATTTGCTGGGCCTCTAGTGAATCTTAGCTGTCCTGTCTCTAACATTAGTGTATATTTCCTTTAAATATAACTTGCACGCAGTGTTCCGCATCTGATATCAATCAGATCCTGTAGAATTGTAGCAAAATTTCCTTTTCTTGTACTCAATCCCCTTGTTGTAAAGGCCACCATGGTATTTGTTTTTCAAATTGCTGCTTGTACCTCTATGCTAGCTCTTTGTATTCTTTGTCCAAGTACATCAACTCTCTTGGTATAAAAATTTAAGTTTTACATATTTTCAATAAATATTGCTCTTCTACACTTCCAACAGAAATTAATAACCTTGGATTTTCCCACATTTTACACCATCTGCCACCTTATTAATCACTCGCTTAACCTGTCAACATCTCTTTGCAGCCTTTTCATCTCTTCTACACAGCCTGTGTTCCTATCTGGCTTTTGTAACATTACATTATTACTGATGTTTTATTACTGGATGAGTCAGATCCCACACTGAAGTTTGGCTTGATAGGTCATATTTTGCTTTTATTTGGTATGGTAGTCTCCCCAAAATGCAAATGCAAAGCTGCAGATTTTGTTATAACAATAAAACAAATTTATTATTCAAAAGAAAAGATAAAGAATAAACCAAATAAATTTTATACAACACCATTTTGAAAGTTTTCGAAGCATGCAGTAAAGTTACAATTCCATCTATGTTAACACCATGATTTTACAGTACTCAAACGTCAGATACAATCCCTTGTCTATTACAGCTGTAGACTTGACTTTCTTCATTCAATTAATTTCAATTTCAAGTCTATCTTGATTTTCCACACGCAGTCAAAGCTCAGTTCTAAATAATCCCTTTGGTATTCTAGTTAAACACGCTGGTCTGGAAGTTTCAAACTAAAACCCTTATATAGAGGTAACACATTTTCTAGGTTTTCTGAACTGCTTTTTCTAGGAGAAACTTTAATACATCTAACATAACCAGGACTCTGAACTAAAACTAAAAGACTTCCAAGTTATGCATTCTTCCCGATGCAAAATAATTCAATTTCTGATCCTGCTAACTGAATGCAATCAAATGCTATTTAGTGTTTACTCTGACCTGTTGTAAAACTCTCCCAATGCAAACAAATTTCCATTCACATCCCAGTTACTCCTCGTCTTGCTGATTTTTGAAAAAAAAACGGCTCCACACATGCTGACAAGTTAATCATTAATCCTTGTCATGCCCAGGGGCCAAAATGTACTTGCTGCTCATTCAAAACAAAACTCAAAAATAAATGATATTAAAATGTACTTATTACACATTTACATGAATGATCAAACTTTAATTCTTCTCTCTCTTTGTCTAACAAGGAGAAGGAAGTTAAAGGAAATGCAGATAGAGGTAGATAATTCTGATGGCAGTATGTTCTAGTGGAGCATAAACATTGGAACAGATTGGTTGGGCGAAATGGCCTGTTTGTGCTGAAAATTGTGTGACAATACAGAGTAGCCGAGTTGCCTTTTATTTTTGCTGCATACTGTCTCTTAAAAACTGCCATTGACTGGCACTGAAGTTAACTGGAGATTTTTCTTTATCTGACTGATAACAAGGCCTGAGAGTTAAAGGATAAAGAAAATTCCTGACTACCGTTTTTGATTTAAAAACTATAATAATTTGTTTTAAAAATAGTATTAGTTTACTTGACATTACCATCCACTTGATGTAACCACAAAGGTAAGATGACAAAGTTAAATTTGAGTGGTCAGTGAATGATGCCTGTGCATTTGAAATCCGGTATTGCAATGCAGCCTATTCTCAGTGGGTAACTTCACTGAACGGGGGGAGAGTGGACTGCAGATCTGTTGACAACGCTCCAGTTCTCTGGTCTGCTTTCACTTCAGATTTATTGGAAGGTCAGATGGAATGTTTGGGTTTTTGGACTAATACTTCACTTTGTGTCTCATTGTGCTGAGTGCAAAAATAACTGTTTCAATGATTAACTGTCATTTGCACCTTTTTTATGTAAAATTGTTTCACGAAATAGCAGTGCTTCGTGTTATGTTAACCTTAACACTGATAGCTGTGACTCAGTTGATCGCACTTGTATTTGAGTCAGTTTAAATCTTCAACTTCCGCGCCCGGACTTTCAGAGAAAAGTCGAAGCTGACACTCCAGCGGTGTAATAAAGGAGTGTTGCATTATTGAAGTTCATCAGTTCTTCTGGACAGTAATTAACCTGAAACATTTGACCTAACTCTCTCTGTGTCTCCAATGATGCTTCTAGACCTGCTAGTAGCATATTCTGTTTTTATTTCAGAGTTCCATCTCTGCAGTGTTTTGCTGTTGAATCTTAATGAGCAAATTCACCAATACATAAAATTACTTTAGAGTGCTTCATTTAGCTGCTTAACCTGTGAGACCTGAAAAAGCAGTTTGTCAGAACTGAAATTGTGGTGTTAGGGTTCTTGATTGCAACCTTGTTGCTGCAGCCTCACCAATTTGGGATTACAAAAACTATTCAAATGCGCGCCCAGATGGTTGATGTGTAAACTTGGAAAACGATGATGTTTGAACAATGATTCAAGTTATTATATTGCTTGAAACTGCCTCTATTTCCAATTTTAGGCAACAAGTTCACCTTGGAAACTAGGCCAGCAGAGATGGGCATAGATGTACGACAAGAACTCCTTAAGTTTCACTCAACTAACTATTCATCAAACCTGATGGCTCTCTGTGTCCTAGGGAGAGGCAAGTACTTTATTGGGTAAAATCTTTTTGTTAATTTGTAATTCTTCAACTACACAATGCACAATGGTGTTCTCCCCAATCTTAATTACTTTACATTTGCAATGTGAATATCTCAACTGTCCAATGATCTTTTTCACGTGTTGAAGAAATACTTTCAAACAATAGATAAAATGCCATTTGAGTATCTAGGGGAACTTCATTGATGAAAGTTCTGATCCGTAAAATATTGAGTTTGCTTTTCATTTCTGTCAGAGGCACTGGGACCTTGGTTATCTAGATTGGAAAAGATCTTTTAGGTTGGTAGGTAACACATCTTCCCACAGTACCAAGAAGAAAGAGTACTATCTGCAGTTAAGGAATCTGCAAAGAAAGATGAAACTTAGAATTTTCTTTTTAAATTCTTATCTCTGAGGAATTCCAACAGAGTTCCTGCATCATTCTAGGTTGAGGGGAGTGCCAATGTCATGTCAGTGTTCGTATTTTTAAGCTATATCTGCTCTTGTAATGGATTTTCAACCTTTCCTTTGGAACACCAATCAGAAAATCAAATTTGATTGAATACTTGAAGGAAATCAACTGTTGAATGTGTGTGGTTCTACATTATGTAGATTTGAGACGTATTGCATTGCTGTTGTGATGTCAGCAAGTAACTTAACATTCAATGTCAGTTGTAAGCTATTTGTGAGATGAACGAACATTCTAATTTCTGTAGCTTACAATTTTAAGATTGGTAAACAGGTCTTAAAACGTTAAACTTTTGAATGAAATGAGCAAATGAGCAAGGAATTTCTGATTCTTGCAACAAGGGATCCTGTCAACTGAGGATTGAACTAATCATAAATGGGTTCACTCAGGATTCACTACTGCAATGCTTTGCTGGCTGGCCTGCCAAATTCCATTCTAAATAAATTTGAGGTCATCTGAAACTGTCTGTCCTAACTCTGTGAGACTCGTTCACCTAGCGCTCATATGCTTCCTGATCTACTTCAATTTCTGATTCCACAATCCCATTCTTGTTTGAATTCTCACTCTCTTTTTAAATCCTCACATGGCCTTGCTCCTCGAGGCCTATAAATTTCAGAGATATCCACGTTTCTCTAATTCAACCTCCTATCAGGTCTTTCTGGTCTTTCAATTCAGGAATTCTCTCCTGAAAAGGCTGTCCATCTGTTTGTTAAGAACCTCCTTAAAAGCTACCTGTTTGAGTTAGCTTTTGGTCATCAGCTATAATATTTCCTTATGCATCTTTGTTTGATATGCTCCTCTGTAAGTGCATGGGGCTGTCTTAATGTGTTAAAGGTGCTTTAACAAGGTGAATTAATAACCAGGTTCTTATATTAATCACAGTTGCTGTTAGATCATGGAATGCTCTATCACAGTAAGTAGTTGTAGTGGAGGCCATTGCATCTAATGAGAAAAGAGAATGCGAGACCATAGGGAGCAAGTGGTACAATGGGAGTTGTTTTCCATTGCAGTTGCAAAACAAAGTGGCATACGTGCCTGAGCTGAATGGCTGCCTTTGTTGCCATACAGAAAAGGAGGCCTGATTGGATCATGAACACACAGTGTGGACTTAGTGTGGATGGCTGTTTCTGTATTGTAACATTCTGTATACTCATCTAGGGTTTAATCAAAGATTTTAACATTCTAACTTGAGAAAATTATGTTCACCAAACTTTGTTAAGACAGTGTGGCATACTGTAGATATCAGCAGTAATGTTGTTAGAAACTAACCCAAAGACCTTTCGGAATGTCCTGTCAATTATTATGGGAACTAACGTTATTGTATTCAAAATTTGTTTAAATGCTGTACAATGCACTTGCAATTTATTTTTAAACAAGATATCTGAAATACTCTGCTTTATAAAATAAAGCTTGCATTTGATTTGCCTGCTGGTGCAGGTAACCACCATAGGAAAGGGTCCTGACCCGAAACGTCAACTTTCCTACTCCTCAGATGCTGCCTGGCCTGCTGTGTACCTCCAGCTCCACGCTGTGTACCTCCAGCTCCACGCTGTGTTACCTCTGACTCCAGCATCGGCACTTCTTGCTATCTCTAGGAATTAATCTACGTTTCTTGGCTGTGTTTCAGATATATTGTTTGATTTAATTATTAGTTGAACTGATCTCTGAGCAGAACGTTGAATGCTTCAATGTAGCGAAGAAGATGCTATAGCCTTCAACACTGCAGACAATCTGAAGAAATCATTTTTCAATTCAATTTCTTATTTGTTTTAGTTTTTTGTTGTAAAATTCACCATAATTATCTGAATCCCTTGTTGGACCTATTTTGAGTACTTGAACTTGAGTTACCTTTCAAGAATGCCAGTACTTTTTCATTAGAAAAGTCTACTGGTATGAGCAGCTCAAAGTGGGATTGATATCAGATTTTGGAGTTTCCTAGCTGCTTGTCCCCTTTCAACATAAATAGATTTGCATTTTGGAGCAAATCACTATTTTTATTACAATTAATTGAACCAGATTTTAATTTGCATTTAATTTTTGAAGGAGAAGAAGAACATTGGATTCAGAAATCACAGTAACATTTAAAATTAGCTTTAATACGTTTATGGTTTAGGTATTTCCAGTGACAGCTTGTTACTTTTCTAATTTTAGAAGAGAAATCCAATTAAGAATAGTTTGCCCTTGTAGCTTATTGCATCAGGATATGTTGCAGCATGATACTGTAAATAGTTTCTTTTTGTTTAAGAAACAAACCTTTCTGTCCCCATTTTTAGGGGATGTGGTTTGTTACTTTGTCCTTCTTTTGCGATCCGACTGGTAGCCAGTCAAACTTGCATTATTGACAGAATGAAAGTGGAATTTGGATGTCAAAGAATCTGGTGAAAGTTTTTGCGCAAATTCAGAATTCCTTCCAGTACATGTTCCATAGTTAATGAGGTTTTGATTTGCTTTAATCAGCGCTGCCTTAATCCACAGACTTCATTGATTGGGATGTCAGAAAAATAAGACATTTAAGCCATTTAAAATAACATTTGTCACATATTTAAAGTGAAGAGTAAGTTTAGAAAATTTTTTTTGTTGAAAGACCACTTGTTGAAATGAGCCAAGGGCTCATTTGACTCCCTTGCCTGCCTCCCCACATATGTTAAAGTAACATGCAAAAGGTTTTGCTGTAATGGTTATCTAACATTTCAGTCAGTTAAGGCAGCTTGGATCATGCCTTCTCCCAGCTGAGCTACCCTTCAGTGCTAGGTCATGGTAACCCAGCAATTCCATTTCAAATAAGGAGAATCATGGTTTCAGACAGCTCACAGTATCATAGAACCATTTGGTACAGAAGAGGCCCTTTGGCTTATCAAGTCTGTACTGCCAAAAATATACCGCTACCTAAATTAGTCCCACTTTTCTACACTAGGTCCATTCCTTGAATGTTATGAGGCTTCAAGTGCTCCTGCAAATACTTTTTAAAAGTTGAGATGTTTCCCATCTCAACTACCCTTCCAGATCCCCCTCACCCTCTGGGTGAAAACATTTTCCTTAAACCGCTATAAACCTCATGCCTTTCAGTTTAAAACGATGGTACCTTGTCATTGATTCAGCTGTGAATCGAGATTTCTGGTTTCAGATGTTTTTGTTTTTTGATTTTTGACCTCTTGCTTGTGATCTCATGTGCGCTCTTGCATGATCTTGCGCTCGCACACTCCCTGTCCTGCTCCCACCCACTGACTCCCTGCCCTGCTCCCACTCCCAATCTGTTTTCTGCTAAAAATGGAAGCTCTTTATGGCTTTTTGCAGGAGTTGTCACATGATGGGAATTGGGAGCTTCAAGTTAGCAATATAAATGTGATGTATGTGTACTCAAATGATCTGTTGGTTCTAGAATCCCTGGATGATCTGACTGACCTGGTGGTAAAGCTGTTCGCTGAGGTGGAGAATAAATATTTACCTGTCCCTGAATATACTGAGCATCCTTTCCAGGAAGAACACCTGAAGGTAGTTGCACGACTTCGTAATTTTCCTTTTTTATTTGCATTTTTTTCAAGCTGTATACAAATGGAGTTTATTTTCATGCATGTATTCACTTGGCAAATTTTGCGGTTGAGTTCAGACAAGGACATTTTTCAGTTTGTTTCATCGGATTCTAAAAGTTGTGAATAGACTGACACTTAAAATAGTGTTGAATTTTTAATTTAGTTTGCAAAAGAGGCAGAAATAGGGTGTAACATTTTTCATGGAAAACTGTCAAGTGACAAGAAAAATGGTGATACTTCAAAGTTAGTGTGATTACTTTAACAGACAAGTTGTGATGAAAACTTTTGCCTGTCCTCTGAACTGGGAATCTAACTTATTTCGGTGAACAGAAGTTCAAGAATATTCAAGAATAGCTGCAAAGTTACTTTTTAACCCTAAAGTTTGCTGCATATTTCATTAGAATTTGAATACAGGACGACACACTCAGCACCTAAAAGAGAAATATTTAACTGATGTTTGAGAAATTGCCTACTTCAAAATCAGGTCCCTAGCTTGAATAGATTTTTGATATTGGAGTAATTTCATACAGTAACTACTCAGCTGTGAAGCTTAGTGGTAAAGTATTACAACTTCCTGTACTTGAATGGTTTGCAACAAAATTCTGCAGATCTGTTCAAAGATTTGCAAGTCCTGCTCTGCAATTATGTCATCATGTCAAATTCCTTTTTGCAAAATAATCCAGCATAGAATAAAAGTTAATTTTCCCCATATTTTATTGTTTGTTATTTTGGTGGGAGGTTTCCTCTGCATGTAAACTTTGTACATTTTCAAAAAATTCAGTTGTATTTTCTTAAAAAGTGTCTGGTTGGGCAAACAAAGGAGAGATGTTGTGTGCATGGATTTTTGGAAGATGCTTGATAAAGTGTCAAACAAGATTGTTAACAATTTCATTTGTGGACAATGAGTGTGCGAGTAGACAATCCATAAAAAGGCCAATAGTATTCTGGATTTATGAATTGGCAATGACTAAAATAGTAATAAGTTTGTCAAAATAGTAATTGTATATTGGATAAACACTTAGCAGTTTTGACTGGCTCATCATTCAAAGGCCATTAAAACCATTGAAGATGTAGATTGTAGGTTTGTGCAGATAATGGCAAGCATGGTAAGCTACAGTATGAGAAGAAGTTTGAGATGCATGGGACGCTATTTCCATTGAAGTAAAGAAGACTGAGAGATTTAATGAAAGTTTCTAAAAAGTGTTTGATGTTTATTGGGTGCATTGGGAAAACTTGATTTTTTTCCCAGGTTTTGGGAGATGTGTGGCTTTTAGTTGAAAACAATCACTTGCAAGGAGAAAAATAGCTGAGAGAAATTTCTTTACTCCTAGGTTTTTCTTAGTATCCCTGCAGTGTGGAAATAAGCCTTTCGGCCCAACATGTCCACACCGACCCTCAGAGGATCCCACCCAGAATCATCCCCCTATAACCCACCTAATCTACACATCCCTGAACACTATGGGCAATTTAGCATGGCCAATCCACCTAGCCTGCACATCTTTGAACTGTGGGAGGAAACCCACGCAGACAAGGTCATTGGATCCTAATGCTGCTCTGCAGTCTGGCCAAAACAGAAGCTGTTACATCCCTTTTAATGTTGGATAAACATCTGAATTTGAGAAATGCACAGGGTTATAGGGAGGGAAGAGGCAGTGGGATTAGCATTTTATTTGACTTTAGCAAGAACTGGTTGAGAACTGATGGACTAATTTTGTCCTTTTATGCATAAAAACCTGTGGTTTATTGTTTGCAGCAAACAAAGTGTGTCTGTGTGTATGTGGCTACAAGAGCAGGTTAGAGGCTATTAATTGTGCGACAAATAACTCTCCTGTCACACCAATGTCTGTCCACAAGGCACAAGGCAGGTATGTTATTGAATACTGCCCACTGGCTGGATGAGTGCAATTCCAACGACAATCAAGAAGCAAGAAGCTAGAAACTATCCAGAGCAAAGCAGCCTGCTTGATTGGCACCCCATTCACTGCCTACACATTCACTTCCTTCACCAGAGCTCAGTGGCAGTCATGTGTACAATCTATCACATGTACTGCATTAACCCAAGGTTTCTCTGACAGCACCTTCCAAACGAGTGACCTGTACACTCAAGACAAGAGTAACAGATGTATGGGAACGCCACTATCTGTAGGTTCCCTTCCAAGCCACATACCATCCTGACTTGGAACTACATTGCTGTTCCTTTACTGTAACTGGGTCAAAATCCTGAAACTCCCTTTCTTGGCAGCTCACCGCTACCTTCTCCAGGGCTATTCAGGATAGGCAATAAACGCTGGCCCAGCCCACGTCCCGTAAATGAATTAACAAAAAACCATCTCGAAGTTGTGTCCCTGTGGTCACTATCAATGAAGATTAGTTAATACTTGTTGCACAAGTAAGACAAGAATATTGATTGATGTTCTGTTGACCTCTTGGAGAACTCTGAATTCAGAATTGATCAGATCCAGTGATTGGACAAGTGTAGATCATTCAGATTGCAAATTAGGTGCATCTGAGGAAGGTCACTTGTAGAATTTTGACCGTTGCATCCTGAAAGTTACAATCTCAATCTCTCAGTACATGCAACTGTTTTTATTTTACATTTACATTTTTATTTTGCGAACACAACACTACCCAGAAATTCAGTTCCTGGGACCTTTCCCTTTTTTGTGTGAGGAATAATTTCTTTTGTCCTCTGTTGAATAATGAAAATTTCAAACAATTATAAAGCAGTTGTTAATATTTGTCCAAAAAATGTGACACAAATTTTATCCTCTGCTTTCATTGTCCCTTGCTGGCATACTTGGTTATTTATAGGAATGATTTTTGCCATTTCTATTTCATCCAAAGGGATTGTGTTTGGACCATTTCACCCCATTATCAGTTTAGTGTGATAATATTCACACTAATGCTGCCAACTCTGCAGTGTTTTATATTTTCTCCTGTACCTCCTGGAAGTTTGTGACGAGTAAACTATTCCAAGGATTAAGTTTTCAAACTCCTATTTTTCTAAAAACTGAAAGAACTGCGGTTGCTGTAAATTAGGAACAATAACAAAGTTGCTGAAAAAGCTCAGCAGGTCTGGCAGCATCTGTGAAGGAGAAAACAGAGTTAACGTTTCGGGTCTAGTGACCCTTCCTCAGAACCTGGGTGCTGCCAGACCTGCTGAGCTTTTCCAGCAACTTTGTTCCTATTGTTTCTAATTTGGATTCAGAGGCCAAACACAAATTTGGACAACTATCAAACAAGAAAGGGCCTTTGGACTGCTACGTTAGAAAGAAAGATTAATTAGACAAATTGCTTAAGTGGGTACAAAGTGGTAGATCACATTACAAATAATGCACAGAGAAAAAGAAACAGGGCTACACTCCAAGAACAAATGCAGAAAGCAAGGATTAAAGTGGAGAGTATATTATTTCAGCAGACTTGACAAAATAAACGGAGTACTAAACTACACAACCAAAAAGAGTTTGCTGTATGGTGTTACTTGCATCACAGAAGAATTTAGCTTGTTCCAATGCAAAAGTTCTTCATACCATTGAGTCACTTCTTTAGTACTATAATGAAAGGATGCTTCAGTACAATGAGAGAAGGTAGTGTAATGGAATTAAAGACCTCAAGCAGTACGTGAAGAATAAGCAAGGTGCTTTATGGTTTCCTGGCCAACGTTCTTCTTGCTCTAGCAATGTCCTGCAGTGCAAAAATAGTCCTGCATCTGACTACAAAATGATTCATGACCTCGAAACACTTGAAACTATCCTGAGAGGTGCAATGGATACAACTTGCAAGCAATTTCTTTCTCTCTCCACTCCGATCAGTACAGCATGTCAGAGGAAAATCATGGTGAAACAGAATAACACTCTGGTCACACCTTAAATAATTCTTGTTCTGTCACCAAGTGGAACAAAGAGATTTTCAGTAGTTCAGAGAAAAATTTTCAGCCTTGTGTCTGAAAATTGATTTATGAGCAATGAATTAGCATATTCTTCCGATAGGTCCTAAGTATATGTATTCCCTTTTGAACTATGTAAACCGGTTGAATAGTAGATAAAAATTAAATGCAAAATTGTGAGACAAATGGAACTGGTGTCAAAACTGTACAAGACAGTGTAAAATTAATCAGTACAAGAGAGAAAGTGGGATTTGGGTGACTGTAAGTAGTTGCAGTTTTTTGTTGCTACTCCAGTAATTAAGGTAGTACTACAGTGGTAATATGCAAAATGGAACAGAGCAACTAGTCAGTCTAAAATTATGGGACCATTTGATAAACCGTGATGACTGTACAATTAGGTTCAATGTAAAAAATTTTTAAAAGGACAAACCTACTTGGCAGGAAATGTAATGAAATTAAAAAGGACATTACTCTTAGGTAATCGAAAAAAAATTTCAAAAAGAACTTCACGTGGATGATCAGAAATATTTAAGCAAGAGGTGAAAATCTGAGTAACTGCTGGTGGCATGCTTGGTGAGACAGTGCAAATTTAAAATAGGTTTAAATGGGGTGTTGAAATGAAACAGAAGAGAAAATAATTAGAATTCTCAAGTTCTGTACAATTGTTGATGCAGAGCATATAAAATTAGTTGCTTGAAATAAGGGAATATTGAAGTTTATGGGTAGCAAGCAACTGAGTAGGAATAGAAACCAAAAGAACCGTGGATTCTGGAAATCAGAAACAAAAACAGGTCTGTTCACTCGACCTGCTGAGCTTTTCTAGCAATTTCTACTCACAACTAAAATCAGAAATAGATTAAGTCTAACACAGACTTGGAGGAGCCAAGTGACCCAATTCTGTACTGAAACATCCTATCATTCAATGTAACCGTCTGCTAAACTGCTATTTAAACACAACATTTTATGGTACACCCCCATGGGGCTGGATTTTCAGATTTAGAAATTTGATTTCACTTCAGTTATTAATTCGCAATGGACTTCGATTAATTTATTAAAAGCATTATTTAAGATCAAGT